TACCTTGCCAGCACCCGGGTGTTTGGAGTACCTTGCCTGCACCCGGGTGCTGGGTGTACCTTACCTGCACCCGGGTGCTGGCAGTACCTTGCCTGCACCCGGGTGCTGGCAGTACCTTGCCTGCACCCGGGTGCTGGCAGTACCTTGCCTGCACCCGGGTGCTGGCAGTACCTTGCCTGCACCCGGGTGCTTGAAGTACCTTGCCTGCACCCGGGTGCTGGGAGTACCTTGCCTGCACCCGGGTGCTTGAAGTACCTTGCCTGCACCCGGGTGCTGGCAGTACCTTGCCTGCACCCGGGTGCTGGCAGTACCTTGCCTGCACCCGGGTGCTGGCAGTACCTTGCCTGCACCCGGGTGCTTGAAGTACCTTGCCTGCACCCGGGTGCTGGGAGTACCTTGCCTGCACCTGGGTGCTGGGAGTACCTTACCTGCACCCGGGTGCTGGCAGTACCTTGCCTGCACCCGGGTGCTGGCAGTACCTTGCCTGCACCCGGGTGCTGGCAGTACCTTGCCTGCACCCGGGTGTTGGGAGTACCTTGCCTGCACCAGAGTGCTTGAAGTACCTTGCCTGCACCAGAGTGCTTGAAGTACCTTGCCTGCACCCGGGTGCTTGGAGTACCTTGCCTGCACCTGGGTGCTTGAAGTACCTTGCCTGCACCTGGGTGCTTGATGTACCTTGCCAGCACCCGGGTGCTTGGAGTACCTTGCCTGCACCTGGGTGCTTGAAGTACCTTGCCTGCACCTGGGTGCTTGATGTACCTTGCCAGCACCCGGGTGCTTGGAGTACCTTGCCTGCACCTGGGTGCTGGATGCACCTTGCCTGCACCCGGGTGCTTGAAGTACCTTGTTTGCACCCGGGTGCTTGAAATACCTTGCCTGCACCCGGGTGCTTGAAATACCTTGCCTGCACCTGGGTGCTGGGTGTACCTTACCTGCACCCGGGTGCTTGAAGTACCTTGCCTGCACCTGGGTGCTGGGAGTACCTTGCCAGCACCCGGGTGCTTGGAGTACCTTGCCTGCACCTGGGTGCTGGGTGTACCTTGCCTGCACCTGGGTGTTTGAAGTACCTTACCTGCACCCGGGTGCTTGAAGTACCTTGCCAGCACCCGGGTGCTTGGAGTACCTTGCCTGCACCTGGGTGCTGGGTGTACCTTACCTGCACCCGGGTGCTTGAAGTACCTTGCCTGCACCTGGGTGCTGGAAGTTCCTTGCCTGCACTCGGGTGCTGCGAGTACCTTGTTTGCACCCGGGTGCTTGAAATACCTTGCCTGCACCCGGGTGCTTGAAATACCTTGCCTGCACCTGGGTGTTGGGAGTACCTTGCCTGCACCTGGGTGTTTGAAGTACCTTACCTGCACCCGGGTGCTTGAAGTACCTTGCCAGCACCCGGGTGCTTGGAGTACCTTGCCTGCACCTGGGTGCTGGGTGTACCTTACCTGCACCCGGGTGCTTGAAGTACCTTGCCTGCACCTGGGTGCTGGAAGTTCCTTGCCTGCACTCGGGTGCTGCGAGTACCTTGTTTGCACCCGGGTGCTTGAAATACCTTGCCTGCACCCGGGTGCTTGAAATACCTTGCCTGCACCTGGGTGTTGGGAGTACCTTGCCTGCACCCAGGTGCTGCGGGTACCTCCCCTGCACCCGGGTGCTTTTCGTCACACGTAAGATGTGGACTGGCTCCAGGACTGTTCTTCAGACTTTGTGATTTCAGCAGAAATCCGGTTGAATGACCTCTTAGTAAGTCTCGGTGGTACAGTGGTGGAGTATGCAGCTGTCATTGCCTTGGTTTCGGCTTCGAGTCATCTCAGATCACCAGTTCATTTTCTCATTGATATATATGAACGTTAATGGGATTTTTCTGAGTGATTCTGATGAATCATGAAGGGCCGTAGTTCAGGAGAGCATACTCAAGAAGGGAGCGAAGGTGTGCTCATATAAGGTTTTGCAGTCCCTGCTTTCAAGGTGTACTCACCTAGTTGTATTCACCTATTTGTGCTTGCGGGGGTTGAGCTCTGGCTCTTTCGGCCCGCCTCTCAACTGTCAATCAACTTTTTTTCACACACACACATACACACACACACACACACACACACACACACACACACACACACACACACACACACACACACACACACACACAGGAAGCAGCCTGTAACAGCTATCTAACTTACAAGTACCTATCTACTGCCAGGTGAACAAGTGCATTAGGGTGAAAGAAACTCTGCCCTTTTGTTTCCGCCATCGCCGGGGATCGATCCCCTAACTCTAGGATTACGAATCCCGAGCACTGTCTACTCATCCACCAGGCAGGTGTGATATGCACCAAAGGGATGTAAGTTTCCTGGCTGCCTTTTGGGCTAGGTTAAGCATGTGGCTCTTCATTCTCATAGAAGAGTTAAACTTCATGCCCAATATGTCAATTTCATCTAAACGTTAGGATTTTACCTGAATTTACGTTAGGGCCACTAACACTCTAGCGGCCTCGACGAGGACAGGAAGCTAGCGGCTTGTCAAAGGTCCCCCGCCTTTGCCCTGATTATCTTTCAGTGGGATTTTGAAATTTAACAGAGTTTTGGCCTTTACGGCTTCGGCGGGTAGGCGGTTCCATGAGTTTATAGCCCTGTGGGTGAAAACACATCTGTTCTCAGTTCTACATTGTGGCTTGTTGAGCATCAAACTGTTGTTCCTTGTTTGTGTTACACCTGACCTTTTGAAGAAATTGTCCGGGGTCAACATCCTGCAAACTGTTCAGTATTTTTAAAGTTTCAATGAGATCCACCCTGTCATGCCTGGTTTGCAGTGTTGTTAGCCCGGTGGCCTCAACCGTTCTTGATTCGAGAGTTTTAGCTCCCGAACGATTTTTGTAACCAGGTGGTGCACTTTCTCCAGATGCGACCCATTTGCAGGCCTGTCCAATTTCCAATGTACAGCCTAGTTATCATTACATGTGTTTTCACAACTGCACATGTGACCTTCCATCTTCCTCAGGTAGAAATCACTTAAAGTTGGTGATTTGTGAGTCTTGTAGCAGTTGGCATTTCTTATTTTCCTAATGTCAAGGTTGGAGTGCAGTTGGCAGCATATACTTGAGCTTCAGGAATGAGGTGAAGTAGATCATTGAAATAGAAATTCCACAGCAGAGGGCCAAGCACACTACCCTGTGGTACACTGCCACCAATTGAATGGCTTTCGGATTCTGCTCCATTGAGGACTACTCTTAGAGTCTGTTCTTTAAGGTAATTCTTTATTATTAGTTCTAAGATGAAGTCTGAGATACGTAGTGCTTGAAGCTTCATTACTAATCTAGAGTGAAATACCTGATTAAAGGTACCTACTATGTCTAGAGCAACATCACAGCTGATCTTGGATTCATCCAGTGAATGATGGCACTTAGTGGGGAGATTTATACATAGATCAGCAGCAGGTTGGACCAAAACCACACTGTCAATCACATAGTAGCTGATGATGGTAAAAAACTTGTATCATTAGCTCAGAGATTATTGTTTCTAGAATTTTACCAGTAATGGAAAGCCATGACACTGGTCTGTAGTTGTTGATGGTCGTCCTTCGGATACGAGGATGACCATGACTTTAATATATTAGGTCGAAGGTCGATGGCTGTGTGTCAGGTGATGGAGGGTGAGACCAATCTGGGTCCGGAAGGCTCGCTCACACACATTTGTTGGTGTGTGAGTAATCTGTAATCCTAGACACACAGCTTGGAACAAGATGTGGAGGTTAAGGCTCAGAATTTGGGACTTGCATCTTGGCGGCAAAGTGGTTTACCATCAGGTCAGCATTCTCCTGATTACTGGTTGCAACAGTTCCATCCTCCCGGTTTAGAGGCGGGATTGTGTCCTCAGATGAGTATCTCTACCAGTCTTTAACCAGGGACCACCAGACTTTGGATCCAACTTTTCCAGATGAAAGTTTTCTTCGAGTTTCTTATTCCCATCTGGATATAGACCACTTTCGAACTTCTTTCAATAAACAAGATCGTCTATGAATGTTTCCATTATAAACCGAGGCTGCCATCCGGCAGCGATATCCAAACCAAGGCTGATCAGTAGGCTTGGTCACATACTGCGGGTGAGGGATACGCCTATGCTAGAGGTCCGGTATGTGGTTGATGAAGGCGTTTGCTGGCTGTTCACGTCTTTCAATCAAGGCTTCAAGCTCTATGCGGATGGCTGGCTAGTTCCTCGTCCCAATGCCAGGTAGTTCAAACCTCGATCTGTCAGGATAGCCAGTGTAGTATCGACAGCCTGGTGGCCTAATGAACAAACATATCCCAGAGGTCTGCAGTGAACTATACTTGCAGGAAGGTCAGTTACCACAGGATCGAGGGACGAGCCTGATATGAGGTTGATTTTTTTTGAGCTTGAAAACTCCTAAAGGTTCATCAGACTCCCTGAATAAGAGATACTGACTGAGGTCACCCAGATTTATTATGTGCTGACAGTATAGTTCCAGTAGTAAGGAGTCCAGGATGTCCATCAGGATGTTGATTGGAGAGGCAATTAAGGTTTGTACTTTGTACATCTGGAACATTGTAATGTAGTTCCGGGATTTATTCACATTTTGAAGAACATAATTTAAAAATGACCAAAGATGACCACATCAACCGGTTGGGCGTGTACAGATGTTCTGATGCAAACTGCAACTTCCCCACCTCGGCTCTGCCTGTCCCGGCGCGTTAATGAGATATAACCAGCAATCTTTGCAGAATTCTCAGGAGTCCTGTCATCTAGAAATGATTCTAGCACAACAACCACATCAGGACAATGAGTGTTCACGAAGCTGTGTGTGTGAGATCACCAACATTGGTAATGAACTAGTTACTATAATCATTGGTTACTATAATCATTGGTTACTATAATCATTGGTTACTATAATCATTGCTTACTATAATCTACTATAGTAACGATGTGAACCATCGTACATATATTGACCTAATGGACAATTAGAAAGTAATACCTTGACTCATCTTTTTCTTGTGACAGAGGAGCTATGGGGCCTGGTGAACAACGCTGGCATCTCTACCTTCGGCGAGGTGGAGTGGGTCCCGGACGCCACCTACAGGAAAGTACTAGAGGTGAACCTATTGGGCACCGTCGCCGCCACCAAGACCTTCCTGCCTCTCATCAGGAGAGCCAAAGGTAGGCACTGTTGAGGGTGGGTATAAATAATATATATATATATATATATATATATATATATATATATATATATATATATATATATATATATATATATATATATATATATATATATATATATATATATATATATATATTAGTATATTTTGGTAGCAGTCTTTCCTGTAGACATATATTATTAAATATGACCGAAAAAGTAAGATTAATAATTCTAACACGAATTTTCTCAATCTTTCGTACATTACGCTTCACTGTTGGAGGTAAATCAAAAATCAATTCTCCAAAATTCATTTTTATTTCTAGTCTGACGCGACACGGGCGCGTTTCGTAAAACTTATTACATTTTCAAAGACTTTAGTTCACAAATACACGACTGAATAGAACTTACGTATCTCCGATTTTATATCTACATTTGAGTGAGGTGGAAGGGGTGATGTGGCATTAACACAAGACAGAACAAAATGTGGTATTAATAGGGTATTAATTTCATCAACACAAAACAGAACAAGAGTATTAATAGGGTATTAATTTCATCAACACAAGACAGAACACGAAACAATGGATATTGAATAGAAGTGTTTGTAGAAAGCCTATTGGTCCATATTTCTTGATGCTTCTATATTGGAGCGGAGTCTTGAGGTGGGTAGAATATAGTTGTGCAATAATTGGCTGTTGATTGCTGGTGTTGACTTCTTGATGTGTAGTGCCTCGCAAACGTCAAGCCGCCTGCTATCGCTGTATCTATCGATGATTTCTGTGTTGTTTACTAGGATTTCTCTGGCGATGGTTTGGTTGTGGGAAGAGATTATATGTTCCTTAATGGAGCCCTGTTGCTTATGCATCGTTAAACGCCTAGAAAGAGATGTTGTTGTCTTGCCTATATACTGGGTTTTTTGGAGCTTACAGTCCCCAAGTGGGCATTTGAAGGCATAGACGACGTTAGTCTCTTTTAAAGCGTTCTGTTTTGTGTCTGGAGAGTTTCTCATGAGTAGGCTGGCCGTTTTTCTGGTTTTATAGTAAATCGTCAGTTGTATCCTCTGATTTTTGTCTGTAGGGATAACGTTTCTATTAACAATATCTTTCAGGACCCTTTCCTCCGTTTTATGAGCTGTGGAAAAGAAGTTCCTGTAAAATAGTCTAATAGGGGGTAAAGGTGTTGTTTTAGTTGTCTCTTCAGAGGTTGCATGGCTTTTCACTTTCCTTCTTATGATGTCTTCGACGAAACCATTGGAGAAGCCGTTATTGACTAGGACCTGCCTTACCCTACAGAGTTCTTCGTCGACTTGCTTCCATTCTGAGCTGTGGCTGAGAGCACGGTCGACATATGCGTTAACAACACTCCTCTTGTACCTGTCTGGGCAGTCGCTGTTGGCATTTAGGCACATTCCTATGTTTGTTTCCTTAGTGTAGACTGCAGTGTGGAAACCTCCGTCTTTTTCCATGACTGTTACATCTAGAAAGGGCAGCTTCCATCCTTTTCCATCTCGTAAGTGAAACGCAGCACGGAACTCTGCTCAAATGCCTCCTTCAGCTCCTGCAGATGTCTGACATCAGGTACCTGTGTAAAAATGTCGTCAACATACCTGCAGTATATGGCCGGTTTCAAGTTCATGTCGACTAAGACTTTTTGCTCGATGGTACCCATGTAGAAGTTTGCAAACAGGACACCTAGGGGAGAACCCATGGCGACCCCATCTACTTGCTTATACATGTGCCCATCCGGGCTCAAGAAGGGTGCCTCTTTAGTACAAGCTTGGAGTAGTTTCCTCAGAATATTTTCTGGTATGTCAAGAGGAGTACAGGCTGGATCACGATACACTCTGTCGGCTATCATTCCGATTGTCTCGTCCACAGGTACGTTGGTAAACAGCGATTCTACGTCCAACGAGGCTCTTATCCCTGTGGCCCGTGTGCCCCGCAGTAAGTCAACAAATTCCTTTGGAGACTTCAGGCTGAAGGCGCAAGGAACATAAGGAGTCAGCAAGCCGTTGAGTCGCTTCGCCAGTCTGTACGTGGGTGTGGGTATCTGGCTAATGATTGGCCGAAGTGGGTTTCCAGGCTTGTGCGTCTTGACATTTCCATACGCATATCCAGGTTTATATTCCCCAATGATCTTTGGCAGGTGGAGTCCGGATTTCTTGGCGTTCACAGTTTCTGTGAACTGAATAAACTGATCGAAACTGTGAACGCCAAGAAATCCGGACTCCACCTGCCAAAGATCATTGGGGAATACCTTCTATACACGAAACATTTCCCACGTGCCACAATCAGTGATGAGTCACAGTAACGAGGCTCAAGATATGACCACCAGACCAAACATCAGAAAGTGAAAATATGATGACCAAACCACACATCAGAAAGTGACGATATGATGACCAAACCACACATCAGAAAGTGAAAATATGATGACCAAACCACCCATCAGAAAGTGAAAATATGATGACCAAACCACACATCAAAAAGTGACGATATGATGACCAAACCACACATCAGGAAGTAAAGAAACGACGACGTTTCGGTCCGTCCTGGACCATTCTCAAGTCGATTGTGATGAGGGAAGATTGACTGATAAAGATTAAGCCACCCAAGAGGTGGCACGGGCATGAATAGCCCGTAAGTGGTAAAAATTTTTGTTCAGTAATTCTTTTCAGTATTCTGAGGTTGCATTTCATCGTCAAGCTGTTATCGCGGGGGAGGATACTGCTTCACAGTCTTTATGAGGGTGTCCAGCTGCTGGACACCTTTTTTGACCAGGAGAGTGGCTGTGTTGATGGCTTCAAGGTGGCCACTGCAAGATTCAGGGACTCTTAAAGCTCTTCTAAGGTCACTGGTAGATGAGGGAAGGAGGTGAAGGCAATAAATAGGCAAGAGAGAGGTGAGGAGAAGAAAATCTTCTCCTCAGAAAAAGAAAAAGCAAGGCAAAAGATACGAAATTTAAGGTGAAATGAAGGGGAAAAGAACATAAGAACATAAGAACAAAGGTAACAGCAGAAGACCTATTGGCCCATACGAGGCACCTCCTATTTATAACCACCCAATAACAAAGGGGATAGTAAAAGGAATAAGCACAGGATTGTAGGAGAAAACACTGGAAAGAAAAAGAAAAAAGGAAAGAGAAAGAAAGATAAATGGCTTATGTTAGGTCACGTTTGTTAGAAAGTTTAGAGCATTTCAGTAGATACTGTTAAAGGGAAGAGTCAACAGCAACAAAGCCAGGACTCAAGTTCATGTTGGGTACATTGTGTATTAGAGCTGATTCAACAAGACGGCGTCTGTGTAGAGTAGAGGCAGGAAAGATTATTTTGGAGGAAGACCAATCAATAGGATGATTAGAATCCCTAACACGACCGAAGAGAGCATTGTTTGTGTCTGTAGACTTAACACTTCTTTTGTGTTCTTAAAGTCTGTCATTAAGTGTAGGGAGAGTTTCACCAAAGTATTGGAGAGGACATGACGAACAGGAAATAGACACCAGCAGCATTAGAAGCAGGAGGAGCGGTGTGAACTAGATTGCTACGAAGTGTGTTAGTTTGTCGAAAGGCGAGCTTTATATCAAGAGGACGAAAGGCATTAGTAAAAAGTTTGAGTTCAGTTATGAAGGGGGGCAGAGCACAATGCTACTAGTCGTCCCTTCACTTTCTAGTGTCTGGTTTGATCAACATATTTCAGCCAC